GGAGACGCCCAACAACGGAGCCACCCAGCAGCCCCTTGAGAGATGTTTCTAAGTAGACACAGGGTGTTTGGTGACAGCATGGAGGCGAGTGTGAGAAAGCGCAGTGTCAGGAAGCCTCAGCCACTGGAAGGCTGGCATCGCCGCTTACTGAGCTGGAAGGGGCTGCGGAGCAGTGGGTTTGAGAGCGGGAGTCAGGAAGTCGGTCCGCACATACTAAGTTTGAGATGCCAGTTAGAGCCAAGTGAGGCTGTTGATGGACATTGTGTGTGTGTGTGTGTGTGTGTGTGTGTGTGTGTGTGTACGGGTGCGTGCAGCATTTAGGGGATAATTACAGCCTTAAGACTAGATGAGGTCATCAAGAGAAGAGATAAGGGGTCAGCAGGAGGGTCTGGAACTCTCCGACTACGGAGGTCAGGAGAGCCAAAAAGGAGCAGGCAGTGAGATACGAGAACCAACAAGTGGCATCTCAGAGGTCAAACTGAGAAAGAACAGTTGTTCCAGGTGGGAATCCATCAACTGTGTGCCATGTCGAGGACTGAGAACTGACTGTTGATTTAGACGCATGGAATCATCGGATTCTTTGACAAGAAGAGCTTCAGTGGGGGACTGAGAATAAAAGCCTGGGTTGGGTTTATTCAAGAGAATATGGGAGGAGAGACCTTGGGCACAGTAAATATGGACCATTCTTTGAAGATCTGTAAAATAGAAGAGAACGAAACAGCCATCACGGTGGGGAGATGCAGGGTCAAGGTTTTTTCCCGTACAGCTGGGATGTAAATATAGATGTGGGTGTGTATGTGGCTGTTGGCGGTGACTCAGGAGAGTGAACATTCCGGAGGAAGAGGAAGAGTTGCTGACTGCCATCCTTAGTTAGGCCAGAGAAGAGGTCCCATGTAGAGGGGCCGGCCCTGGAGAGGAGCACAGAGGTTTCCTGTGGGGACTGGGGAAGTTCTCTGCTGCTTGCTTCTGCTTTCTCAGTGAAATAGGAAGCACGGTGTTCGGGGGAGAGTCGAGGTTAGAGAGGAAGATGTGAAAGTGGCAAAGTAGATGGACTAGGGAAATGGGGAAGGATTGCTGGACAGCATTAAGAGCCCCCTTTTAAGTTAGTGGTCATGAGTTTCAGGTGAAACCAGCCTGTGGGATTGTGTCCTTTTCTCCGTCTGTGTTCCACTGTCTCGGTGGAGATACGGGGGGTGGGGGGCAGGTACAGGATTGGGTTGAATGCACAGAGGGGAGAGAGTCAGGGGATGGGTCCAGTCATATGCCTGGGAACCAGTCTGAGTAGGATAAAACGACGTGCTGAGCATGAGAGACCATAAAGAGACTGGAGGGTCAATGGATCTTTAGGTTCTGCTGCAGCTGAAGGATTGGCAAAGTCAGGGTCTTGGGGGACGTGCCCTGGAAAGACAGGAGGTGGAGTCAGAGAGTAGAGAAGCATGAGATTGTGGAGGGTGTGCTCGTATTAATAATAGGGTCTGGGGCCGTGGTTCTCAGCTATGGGTAGTTTGGCCCCGAGAAGCTGTTTCAGAGTCTGGGGACATTTTTTGATTGCCACGGCTAGAAGGGGAGAGGATGCCACTGACATCTAGTAGAGGTCAGGGTCAGTGCTAAACACCCTGTTCTGCAGGGGACAGCCCCTGAGCAGGGAGCAGGGCAGCCCGGTTTTCAACAGGGCCAAAGCCCTGGCCTAGGGAAGGATGTGGGAATGAGCGGCTGTGATAGGCCTGAGGATAAGATCACAGGGAAAGAGAAGATAAACAAAGAGGCTGGGGCTTTGGAAGGTTCATTTTACGACTAATGGGATCTCCAAGAGCTGGGGCAAGGGTAGTGCTGGTGAGAAAGAGTGAGCCAGGGATGAGAGGATGTTAACTAGGTCTGTATGGAGCCATTTTATTTTATTTTATTGGAACTGCTGATTGGCCAGAGTTGGAATTCCTAATCCTGGCTGTAAGAGCTTCCTGTCCTAATCAGCCAAAGAGTGACCTTTTTTTAAGTCACTTGTTCATTAACAAGTGATATCATTAAGTCTGTCTTGGATTGTCGAAAAGCCACTTGGGGATTTGGTTTGTCTTTATGGTCAAAATTCAGTGACTGTAAACTCAGACCCTTGGCCCAGTTCCATCTCTAAATAACCTCTCAGGTGTCAGATTTTGCAAGCCAGCCTTGAGGCAGGGATCTGGCCAAAGAAAACCCTTGAGGAGACTTTTATTAATTGGCGTTGTAGATTGGCTTCCCTTGCAGCGCTCACCACTGTGGAGGAAACCAGTCAAAATGGCGCAGCGTAAGTAAGGGCTATCAACCAGTGCCGCTTCCTGGGATAACCTGGTCCGATGGCCTGGCCTTGTGCTTTGTCCTTCATTTTGAACTCCAATGCCTTGGTGTGCTTTCCTGCCTACCCACGATGGCAGGGAACGTCTTTTGTTGGCTTCCTGTTTGAAAGAAGGGCTTGTTTTGAGGTTTGGACCACAAATAATAATCCATTGTTCTCTATAATAATAATCCACCCTCCTTAGCAGAAAAAGTCTGCTTGATGCAGTGTGGCTATCAGTTTATTTAAGAGAATAGCCAAAAGTGCCCATTGTGTCCTGAGAATAAACATTTGGAAGACGGTTGGGAGGACTGGGGGAGGACTTGTTCTCCCGTGGTTAAGACCTCAGGAAGAAAACGTTCTGCGCATGATCGTCAGGCCTGGCTGGTAGACAGTGCCCTTCCCTGTTGTGCTCACCTGTTACATTCGAAGAAGAAACGGGACACAGCGGGTACGGATTTTTCCCAAACTGTGTCCTTAAAAAATATCTTTATTTGGAAGATAATCTTTTCTATGTTAGCTTTAATTGGTTTCATTTTTAGGCTAAATTATTTTCTTTGTAACCTTCATTTGATCCATGAACATGTCTTTTTTGAGTGAAGATTATTTTATTTTAGCAGCAATCCTTAAAATTCTTGCAGTTGGCTCTGCTTACAGATTTGAAAAAAGGAGCTATTTTTATATTATAAGCGATAGACATTTTAACGACTATTTCTGGGCTTAGGCTAACTGCATGAACTCAGTGGGTGAAGTGAAAATGTGGCCCAGAGTGTGCAGCTGGTTCTTCTATGGCGCGCAGAAACTAGCAGTAGATACGGTTTCACTAAGGAAAGCAGAATGTGTTGTGCATATTTTCGCCTTAAATCCCTTAAAGGAAAAAGGGTCAGTTAAACAATAAACTTGGCTTTTTTTTTTTTTTAAGATTTTATTTATTTATTTTTGCAGGAGAGGGAGAGAGAGCGCGTGTCCACAGTGGGGGGGAGGGCTACAGGGAGGGGCAGAGGGAGAAGCAAGCTCTTCACAGCTGGCTCGGGCCTCGCGGAAGGCAGATGCTTCACCTTCTGGGCCACACAGGGGGCCCTGGCTTTTTTTTTTTTTTTTTTTTTTTAAGATTTATTTGTTTATTATAGTGCAGGGAAGGGGAGGGGCAGAGGGAGAGACAAAAACAATCTCAAGCAGAGTCCCCACTGATCGCGGGGTCCAGTGAGGGCTTGATCCCAAGATTCTGAGACCCTGACCTGAGCTGAGCTCCGGTCTAGTGCTTAATGACTGAGCCACCCACGTGTTCTTAATATGGCTCTAAATGATGCGATACCGTACCCAGAATAGTTTGAATTACATTAAATATAGAAGATGAGAAAAGTAGTGTGATCGCAATTGAAATTTAACAGGTAGAACTGTTTAAAGAAGTGGAAAAAAATATGCCCTCAACATTATTAAAAATAGACCATCAGGGAAGCAACCAAGATGTCCTTCAGGAGGTGAAGACCCATAAATAATATCCATTATTCAGCAATAAAAAGAAATGAGCTCTCTTGCTATAAATGACATGGAAGAAACTTAAATATTACTAAGTGAAAGCAGCTAATTTGAAAAGGCTACATTTGGGGGCGCCTGGGTGGCTCAGTGGGTTAAGCCGCTGCCTTCGGCTCAGGTCATGATCTCGGGGTCCTGGGATCGAGCCCCGCGTCGGGCTCTCTGCTCAGTGGGAAGCCTGCTTCCTCCTCTCTCTCTGCCTGCCTCTCTGCCTACTTGTGATCTCTGTCTGTCAAATAAATAAATCCTTTAAAAAAGAAAAGAAAAGGCTACATTTGCTCTATGATTCCAACCACATAATGGTCTGGCAAAGGCAAAGAAACAGTAGAAAAAATCAGTGGTTACCAGGGGCTTGGGGCAGGGAGGAGAGGAGTGAACAGGCAGGACACGGAGTTTAGGGCAGTAGAATGATTCTGTGTTTGACTGTAATAGTGGATCCGTTGTCAAAACCCACGATAGGGATAGCACAGAGTGAGCCTTAATATGAAGGGTGGGATTTAGTTAACAATATTGACTCATCAGTGGTCCAGTGTATTACACTAACAAAAGATGTTACTAATAGGGAAACTTGGAGGGGGCAAGGGAGTGAGGGAAGAGATGGGAACCCTCTGCTTCCTGCTCGTCGTTTCTGTAACCCTAAGACTGCTCTAAGAAATAAAGTCTGGTTAATTTAATAATATATACATATATATATTTTTTTAATTTTATTTATTTGACAGAGATCACAAGTAGGCAGAGAGGCAGGCAGAGAGAGAGAGGAGGAAGCAGGCTCTCTGCTGATCATGGAGCCCGACGGGCTCGATCCCAGGACCCCGAGATCATGACCTGAGCCGAAGGCAGAGGCTTCACCCACTGAGCCACCCAGACGCCCCAAGTCTGGTTAATTTGAAAGAAAACATAGACATTAGGTATAGCTGAATAGTGAAAATATCTTCTTGCTGAAAAGCAGGAACAAAGTCCTGGGCGGTCAGCAGTTTGCCCTGCTTGTGGGCAGTACCTGGCGGTGGGACATTCTGCCAGACGCGCGGAGTACACGACGGCCGCAGATGTGCAGCAGACATCGAGTGATTCTCGTGGTCTTTGCGTCTGTCCTCATAGGTCAGCACGTGCTGTTCGCTAAGCCCGACTCAGGCTCTCTTTGGTCTTCTCTCTCCAGTGGCCACTGGCGTGCCAGCCTTGGAGGTGTATACGCCAAAGGAAATCTTCGTGGCAAATGGGACACAAGGGAAGCTGACTTGCAAGTTCAAGTCCGCTAACACCACAGGCACGTCGACCTCGGTCTCCTGGAGCTTCCAGCCAGAGGGGACCGACACCACGGTGTCGGTAGGCATGCTCACGTCCTCCTGCCGAGCCTCCCTCCCCGCTTCTCCCCTGCTGTCCTGTCGTGAATGTACGTTCTTCCGATGGCTGGTTCGCTTCCCAAAGGACTGTGTTGACACTCAGATTCCAGGGCCCTTCTCTTGCTTCAAGCTCTCCGGGAAGAAATAAGGGCGGCATCCTTGAAATGCAGTTCTTTCCTTGGCCTTGCGCAGATGGCCCGCCCCGCTCACCGGCCCCTGTTCTCCTCCATCACATCCCCTTATGGGATTTCTCTTCCATGGAGCAGCTTCCAGTCGACCCTGCTGACCAATCCTGGTTGATCCTCCCCATTTCAACTTTCATTTGCCCCATTTTTATTTGTATTTCTTTGAACTCTTCCTGTTTTACACACACACACACACACACTCTCTCTCTCTCTCCTTTCTGATTTAAGTATGAGGGTTTTTATTTAGAATCCGTCTGCTTCCGCGGCAGTCGTGGGCCTTCCTGTGCGGCGGGTCCTGAGTTGTGTGCTCTCACTCTGGAATAATTGGGAGTAGGAATGGTCCCGGGGGGGATTTCAGACTAAGGTGAGCGGCCGAACAGAGATGAGTGCCAGAGAGCTGACAGGAAGGTTCGTCTGTCAGTAGCCGAGTGTGGGCCAAGCAGTGTGGTGATTCCACGTGGATGGACCATCTGGTTCTTTTCTTAATGTACTTTTAAAACATTTTATTTATTTATTTATTTATTTGAGAGAGAGCATGTAAGAGAGCACAAGCAGGGGAAGGGTCAGAGGCAGAGGGAGAAGCAGACTCCCCGCGGGGCTCCATCCCAGGACCCTGAGATCATGACCTGAGCCGGAGGCAGATGCTTAACCCACTGAGCCCTCCCGGCACTCCGGCCCCCCTGATTCATGTCTGGAGGATGGGGACGAGCAGCCCTCCCCCTGGGGCTGCTGTGAGGGTCGCAGAGGATTGTCATGTCAAGTGCTTGGGACCGTGTCTGGCTCCCGAGGGGCTAATGTGCACAGTTTGTCCTGTTTCTGTGGTTCCATCTGCACATGGACATGCTCTAGCAGGTCTCCCTTTTCAGGGTGTCAGTACTCAGCAGGGACAGAGTCTGCTGCTTCTCTCTAAGCTAAATTCTACGTGATGATGGGTTACATCCCTGAGCACCCTCTGGAGGCTGTGCCCCTCGCACACCCCTCTTATCGCCTCCTCACCCTCTCGAGGAACATGTGTGTTTCCCACTGCAGACTTGGGGGGCATGGGAAACTGTTCAGAGGGTCGTGACCTACCCCATGTCACACCATACAGGCGGGAATTGTTCAAACCCTGTTTTCTTGCCCTCTGGTTGCTCTGTTATTTCCATTATGTCTCCCCTCACTCAGAGGAAAACATTTGTTTTTTTTGTTTGTTTGTTTTGTTTTTAAAGATTTTATTTATTTATTTGACAGGCAGAGATCACAAGTAGGCAGACAGGCAGAGAGAGAGAGGAAGAAGCAAGCTCCCCGCTGAGCAGAGAGCCCGATGTGGGGCTCGATCCTGGGACCCTGGGATCATAACCTGAGCCGAAGGCAGAGGCTTAACCCACTGAGCCACCCAGGCGGCCCGAGGGAAACATTTGATTATAATGTTTACTGTCTCTAGGCTTTAGGGATTGCTTCAAGCTGTGTCTCTCAGTCTTATTATTCATTATCCCCTTCCTACGGAGTGTCTTTGAAATATGCTTTCCTAATTTCTGTCCCCCTTCTATGAAATTTTAAGACCACAGATACACTGTTAAATCTGTGTTTTATATGTAAAAAAGAGTAAGATTTTTTTCTTATTGTTCTCTGTCCTCAGAGCCAGTATTTGCTCCCCCATGGTGAGAGGTGTCACCCCTGTTGAGAACGCATGGTTTAGAAGCTCTAGAAGCTGCTATTTGGTCATCTGTGGAAGTGGAGAGTGTCTTTTTTTTTTTTTTTTTTTTTTTTTAAACGGAGAGTCTTTGTGCAAAAAATATCCCCTTGATGCCTTTCCTGAAAGAACAGACTGCCTGTCCATTATCTCTAGATCATGAGCTCCTGAGGGTCTCCTTTGGGAACTGGCGGTGTGTATAGAGATGACTGGAGCCCCGGGAATAAAACTTTAGCCTGAGTGGCTTCACTTCCCGACATGCGATGTCGGGAAAGCTACATGTTCACTGTTGAATTAAGTCTCCAAAACAAGACCTGTTGCTCCAGGTTGGAATATATCACACCTGACTTCCAAATCCTTAAGTGGACCTATGTCTTCTGGGATTTTCATAAAAAAGGAAAACGGCCTGGATGTTATGCCAGAGAAGGAAGGCAGGCTGAGTTCAAGTCCACGAGTGCAGATGTTAGATAACTTACTCACTGGGTACAGCTGGGGGTGACTCTCGGTGAGTTTGCATAGGAGTGAGTGAGGGCAGGAGTCGTGCGGACGACCAGGGGAAGCGGTCTGCGTCTTCATGGGAACATGGCCTCGGTGCAAAAGATGCTTCCCACAGATGCAAAATTTAGCACACCTCAGTTTACTCAAATGAGTCCAAACCTGTGAGGGTTTTAGTCTTCAGTAAGAGTGGGTGTGAGGGGCATCGTTCAGTCCATGGGAAATAAAACCTCACCAGGAAGACACCCAGTGGTAATAACTTTCTCTCAAAAAGTTGGCTCCATTTATGCTCGAGACAGTCTTGTCAAGTGGCTTCAAGCAAGTCCGCAAGACTTACTGTGAAGAACATGCTGTGTTTTTCATTAGCGTATTTAGCTGATCAGTTTATACTTACACACCAACCTGATCACAGGCAATTCCTGAACGCTTAGCTGTTGATACAAGATCTTTTAACTCAAAAGCATCAGAATATGTTTAATAAGATGAGCTGGTTGCTTTGGTTTTTATAGGTTTCCCCTGGCCCACTCCCATCCCACCAGGGAATAAGGAGAAAGAGCTGCTTGGATCGAAGCCCAGGATCAGGAGAGATCCCCCGGCCCCTAGACCATACCTAGCTTCCAAGGTGCTGGGCTTGACAGGGTTTCTTTGAGAAATGAGTTCCTTTGCTAAAAAGCAGGTGTGAGGAAAGTTAGCTGAAGGCTGATCTTCAAAGAGAAGTGAGGACATCAGGGTGTCTGGGCTTCCTCTCGTGCACCTGTAACATTTCCCTGGGAAACTAGTACGTAAGAGGGAGAAGCCCGTCAGATTAACTAACTGCTCTGTGATATTTAGGCTTTACCTGCTTCAGGGCTTTCTAGAACTAAGTGGTAAACTTTGTGAGTTCAGACTGAAACCTTTGGATTCACAGTCTCCATCATGGTGTGGTCACTGGCTCTGAAGGGTCAGATGGTCCTGACTTTGACTTTGGGTCCACCCCCTGTTGTCACTGTGACCTTGAACAGATGGCTTCTTTGAGTCTCCTTTTCCTTATGTATGAAGAATGGGCAGTAATCACTCCACCGGTGGCATATTGAGAAGATTTGAGACAATACCCGAGTTTATGGCTTCAGCTGAAATAGGGTCGATCCCTGTGCTTTCTAAACGCTGGTCTGGCTTCTGTCCCATAGCTCACTTGTCATATGGAGTTGTATGACTTTCTCTATGAAGTATTCGCCCGTTACGGAGTATGGGGTGCCTGCTGTGAGGAGAGCTCATGTGTCTTTTTTTTCTGGTTGCAGTTTTTCCACTACTCCCAAGGGCAAGTGTATCCTGGGAATTACCCACCATTTAAGGACAGGACCAGCTGGGCTGGAGACCTGGACAAGAAAGACGCGTCCATCAACATAGAAAATATGCAGTTTATCCACAACGGCACCTATATTTGTGACGTCAAAAACCCTCCTGACATTGTTGCCCAGCCGGGACACATTAGGCTCTATGTCGTAGAGAAAGGTACTTCCCTGAGTGTTTTGGCAGTGGTAACACAGTCCCCTTTGTCTCAGGTTCAGTTGAAGAGCAGGAGTGACATTTCCAAGTATGTTTGTCTGCAGTTAGGTGCCCTGTCCCCATGTACCTATGGCTGCGAGGTCGGAGAGTCCCTGCTTCTCCGGCTGCTTGAGCCAGGTTCCCCATCTGTATCCTTGGAGCCCGCTCCCCCAAATTCAGGAATGTCCTTCTTCAGTATTAATTGGAAGTAAGACCGAACTCACAGTGGGTGGAAGGGATGGGCAGTGGGAAAGAAGGTGAGTACGGCTTCCATGTCCTTCGAGGGAGAGTTTCCACATTTGCAAAAGCAGGACAGTGTTTTCCTTCCCTTTCTTGGAAAATAAGCAGGAAATGCAGGTTCTGGTGTCTCCTTTTGAGACAAAGTCTGCTTTGTTGGGGAGGAAATTGAGGTAAATTCACAGCCCTGGAATTTCTCTGGCTTTAGAGCATCAGGAGGGAGGGTTGTGTGGCAGACGTGCTATGCTCTGTAGCTCATCCTTCACCCGTGAGCGTGTGCACGTCGTCAGTCAGACGCCAGGAGCTCGTAATGCGGACACTACAGAGGACGTGGAAGCCGCTAAAGCACTCACTTATTGATTTAATAAAATCCTGCTGCTTTTCTTGGTAGCAAAGTACCTTAAAATGATTTTGTTCTTTCTCTCCAGAGGTCTTGCCCGTGTTTCCAGTTTGGGTGGTGGTGGGGATAGTTACTGCTGTGGTCCTGGGTCTCACTCTGCTCATCAGCATGACCCTGGCTGTCCTCTATAGAAGGAGAAACTCTAAACGGGATTATATTGGGTAAGAAACGCTGCTTCGGGGGCGGGGGCAGGGTGGGGGAGAGGATGGGGGAGGAAAGGAATTTAAAAAACGTGAATTTTTTGTGGAGAAAGAATGGTGAAGTATTAGCTACTGTTTGCTTTCACATCGGAGTGGGGGAGTGTGTCCCGCAGGGGCCAGCAGAGCGCGGAGGCCTGTGGGTGAGCGCGGGCTGTGGCCTCCGCCCCACTCCAGAAGGCCCGTCCTGGGTCCGGCGATCGGCACGGCCGTCGGCAGCCCCCCGACCACAGTTAGGACTGCAAGACCACGCATGTTCCTTTCCCGCTCTGAGTGTGGTTTGAGTCTCTGGTAGCGGTCTCACGAGGCTCTCCTTTGCAGTTAGGTGAATATGAAACGCTAGTCCCAGAGCGCGGCGTAGACGGGCGTAGACGGGCGTAGACGGCCGCAGCCGCGTGACGTGAGGGTTTTCCCGCTCTTCCTGCTTCGTGAGCGGTTTTACTGCTGTGCTCATTCTCGAATGCACGGCTGCACCCTCGAAACCGGGCTAGTGAGAGCTGAACAGCAGAGGGTACCAGCAAAAAAGAGAAGTAGATTGTCTTATTTATGGCTTCGGAAAGAGAGTACCTCGGAGCAGAGGGTGCGTGTCTAACTGAAGGACTTCTCCCTGGCTCCAGCTGGCCGGCCAGCCCACGCACGCTAGGTAGGACTCCCGGGGTAAGACCGAGCAGAGGCCGGGTTCAGGCAGCAGCGCGAGCCGGGCCCCCTGTGCGCGGGCTTGCTGGCAACAGCCTGAATCGGGGATTGTGCTCCGAGAGGATGGCGTGCCCCGGACCCCCATGCTGCTGGATGGTAGGAACCTGGGCCCCGCTGCTCTGGTCTTTAGGAGTGCCGTGTTCTAACAAGTTTGAGTGTTCAAATTCAGATCTTGTTTGCTTGGAATGCTCTGTCCTGCTGACTCTGTCTTCCCCTTTGCATGGTGAGTGCTTTACGAAGACCTGTAACTAGAGGGCTGGTTTTCAACGTGAGACTAACGGCGGGTGGTGACACGCCTGGGTCTGTAGCTCTTGCTTTGGGGCTCGGAAGGGGGGCAGAACTGTGCCTTAGAATCCTGCATGGCATCGTGAATGCTGCTTTTCTTCTGACTGTGGTTTTTTCCTCCCCTGCTTTTTCTGCCGTGGTGTGCCGGGATCAGATCCTGCTCATCTGCCACTTCCTAAGAAAAGCTGACATAGACGACACCCTGGGACTGTGGCAGGGCTGGGGTCCTCTTCCACTCCCACTAGACACATGGTAACCAATCACACTGCCCGTTGCTGTTAACATGACGTGTGTGCGTTCCGCCCCTCGCCCTTGTGGACAGCTAACCCACTAGCTCTGAGCTGACCCCGCAGTTACTACAGTTTGTCCACGGATGCGTCCTGTGTTTGCACAGGCCCCTTGTCGAGTGTGCCATCCCCGGGACCTGGGTTGTCAGGGTTCCTAGAGGGTTTGTGCATCGGAGTATGTATGTTCTTCGTGTGGAGTGCGTGTGCGTGTGCGCGTGCGTGTGCGTGTCAGTGTTCTTTCATATGTGAATTGTGGTGTTGGTGATTGAGACCCTTTTTGTGTCAGATCCCCAGACCATTTTGGTTTGGGGTCAGAGCTCAGAGCGTCCTGTTTCGGAGAAGACGCCATTCCCAGAGCACATTGTCGCTCTGGTCTTAGTAACCACACTTGAATGTGACACCCCCCCACCCCACCCCACACCTCCCCACTCCTGAGAGTTGCTTTAAAAAATGCATCATAAAGGACTTAAGCTCTGACAAGTACCATTAGAGAATCCCTAATGAGTTTCCTCCTGCAGTCACTCTGCCTTTATTTATGAGGTAATGCTTATTCTGAAAGACCCCCAGAGGCCTGACCAAGTTCAGCCTGTGTGATGTGACATACCAGTTTCTTAGTGTTCGTGACCTCCTGGGTTCTCTTTGGTTGGGCTGCAGCCTTCGTGGGGAAACTGAGTCTGGGGAGCTACGGGGCAGAAGGAAGGAGATGCGCCTGGGTGCGGGTCTGTGACTTCTGGAGCACACTCACCAGAGGTCTGCCTTGGGCCAGTGACAGGAAGCTTGGCTTGCTCGCCGAGGGGGATGATCGCAGAGGGAAGACACAGAGCAGCGGAAGCATAAGTGACCCCGAGAGCTGGAGCCCCCTCAGCAGGGTGATTGCAGTGTGGGGCCAAGAGGTTGCACCATGCTGGATTCTGTGCACACACAGTGGGTTCATCGACTTGAGAGAAGTAGTGTCAGGGATGAGAAATAGCCTCGAGTCTGTGACCATTTCGACCCTCATCGTTCTGCTGTGTTGTGTTTTATCTGCTGCTTCATCTTGTCATCACTTGCCTATCTATATATTTTTTCCATTTATTTTATTTTCTTTTTTTTTTTACATTTGTTCTCCAAACTGCCAACTCACCAGCTGCAGTACGTCAGAGAGCGCGTCACCACTTAAGGAGGCTCCACGGAAGTCGCCCTCCGACGCAGAGGGTCTGGTAAAGAGCCTGCCTTCCGGATCCCACCAGGTAACGGCTGGTTGCAGCTCTGCCCCCCACTCTGCGCCCTGGCACTTTCCTGGTGCAGGAAACAGTACTGAGCCCTGCGGCAGGAAAGAGAGCAGCCCGGGAAGGGGGAAGCAAGAGCTGGCTGAGGAGGGCCACGGGAAGGCGTGCGGAAGAATCCGGCCCGCAAAGGGTTCCGCCATTTGGATTGTACTAGTCATGCCGCTCCTCTCGGCCCGGTGACATTAGGGGACGGCTTCGTCAGATGTAATTCCTTAACTGCTTAAGGAAACAAGTCTAGTGAACTAAATTATGCGTTGAGGCGCCTGCAAGACAAGGAATTAGCAGGAAAAAGTGATATTCTTGGTATTGAAAATAAAACGGGAACTGTTTTTTTGTATGAGTTCTCTAGAAGAATCTGAAAGTGAAGATGTGTCTGAGTAACCGCTAAGCTCGATGAACGGGGAGCAGCGTGGATGTGGACTTCGTGTCGAAAGCACAGAGGAGAAGTAACTGTGATTTGGAACTCAGCATGGGACCTGGTGTCGTGCTTGAGAATGTGTTTCGGCTGTGTTGTTGGGACTCTAACTGCGGCACGGCAGAAATTCCAGAGCTTAGGACCAATTCTGTCCTTCTGGGGTAGAAAGCATTCTAAGGAATTTGGCCAATTCCAGTTTTTCCCTGAGGTGTTTTGGAGCTCCGATGGATTTAAAGGGAACTGAAGGACAGAATGACAGTGTTCTGTGGAGGGTGATACTCATGCTTTTTTTTTTTTTTTTTGCTTTTTTTAAAAATTAATTTTTTAAAAAATAAACATATAATGTATTTTTATCCCCAGGGGTACAGGTCTGTGAATCGCCAGGTTTACACATTTTACAGCACTCATCTTTTTTTTTTTTTTTAAGATTTTTTTTTATTTCTTTATTTAACAGAGAAAGAGAGCACAAGTAGGCAGAGGCAGGCAGAGAGAGAGGGGGAAGCAGGCTCCCTGCTGTGCAGAGAGCCCGACGTGGGGCTCGATCCCAGGACCCTGAGACCATGACCCGAGCCGAAGGCCGAGGCTTAACCCACTGAGCCACCCAGGCTCCCCTCCATGCTCTTATTCCACAGCTCTTACTGAGGCACTGTGATGGTCACTCCCTAAAAGCACACACCCGGCAGTTCACAGAATTGGGCCTAGAAATCAGGTTCTAGCACATTCTCTGTCATTTCATAGCATCAGGGCTCATGACTAATTCCTAGTCTGTCTGTCTCTCTCAGAGAACATACTATGTCTCAGATACTTCAGCTCACTAATTTGGGTTGCAGATGGGAATAGGGTTATGAATAAAGGCTTGAGAGTTCGGCATAACATCTGAAGAAGTCTTGGAAACTTTTTCTTCTGCTTTAAGTGCTGTGGGCATTGCTTACCTGTTCAAAACAAACAAGGAAATAAAAACCAGAATGGTGTTTGGACATTGGAAAATGAAACAGCTCAGTGTGGTACTGTGATCCCTGAGAGAAAGGACACAAATAAGAGGAGCCCTGTGACTCTCTGAGCGTACTGCCTCGAGGCAGTTCCCAGACGGCAGGGCTGGGAGGGGAAGCAAAACGGAATTCAGTTGTCTCAGTGAGTTGAGGAGCAGAAGTCAGTGTTTGGGGAGGCCAAGGTGTCTAGGATTTATGAAGCAAAGTACCAGAGAAGAAGAAACCACAGAGAAAAAGAAATGTGCAGTGGTGGGACTCCGTTGAGCCTTCTCCTGAGTAGAGATTTTAGCTTGCATGGGAGAAAACACCCTCCAGTCAGAGAAAGCCACTCGAAAAGCAGCAGATTTTATGATACCAGTCAGGGCCGGGAATTGTTTGTGTTCCTAAAGGCCAGAATGCAGAGACCTGGTGTTACACAGAGCTTTGGTTGCAGGCCTCACAATTGGTCATGCCTTAGTAGTAGAGCTAGTGCAGCACCAGCATGTGGACACCGTGGGCCCACCGTAACAAAGCTTCAAAGGAGGCCTTTGAAGAATCAGACTAAAGTGAAAGTATTTTCGCTGCATGCCAGAACAAAAATCCAACACTCTTTACAAGAATACAACAAAATCCAGCACCCAGCAATGCAAAGTTTACGATGTCTAGCACCAATCAAAAATTACCACACATACAGAGAAGCAGGAAGATAACATAACCAGGAGAAAAGCCAATCAATAGAAACAAAACGAGAAATGACAGACAATGGACATGGAACCAGGACTTTTAAACAAGCATGAAAATCTTAGAAATAACCTTAATGATGTAAAGGAAACCTTGACATAATGAAACAAATATAAAAAAGACCAAAACGGGGTGGGGGGTGGGGCGTGAACAACAGCAGCAGCATTTGATGGCATAACCCGAAGAAGAAAAGATCAGAAAGCTTGAAGACAGCAATAGAAACTACCCAAAATGAAGCATGAAAAGAAGGGTTCACCAGAGGAGATGGGCCACATCTGTCTAGAGTCAGAAAAGGGAAGGAAAGAGAAGAGAATAAGGAAAAAAATTACATAACAGCCGAATGCTTTCCATTCTTTTATTTCTTCTGGTATTTATCTTCATGTTTCTAAACAACTTTATTATATTACTACTTCTAGATTCTTCACTTTTAGATATTACCTACTGACTCCATACTATGGAAAATGAAAATATACATTTCTTTTTCTCCCAGTCTTTTTTCCTAACACACATTCTGTACACATACATACACACAGGCCTCTTCCCGATGTGGTTATGTCACTGTATTTAGATATATTTCAGAGTTGTGTGTACCTTTTTTTCCCCACCATTGTACCACATATATTTGCTTCCTTTTATAGTTTTTCATTTTTCATGGAGTCAGTATTTGCCTTGTTTTTTATTTGCAGTTTTCTAAGTACGCATGTATGTATGTATGTATTTCAAAAATTTTATTTACTCATTTGAGAGAGAACAGGGGAGGAGGAGAGGGAGAAGCAGGCTCCCTGGAGCCCAACTCAGGGCTCATTTCCAGGCCCCTGGGATCATGACCTGAGCTGGAGGCAGACACTTAACTGACTGAGCCATGCAGGTGCCCCTTTCTTAATAATTTTCAAAAGCTTTTTCTTACTCTCTCGCTATAACATCCTGTACTTGTTTTCATGGATGCATTTTCTTCTCTCTGCACATACCATTTTTTCATATATTTTATGTGATTTTTTTTTTAAATGTTTTCTTCTGTCACTTGATTTTGCTGTTTCTTTTCAGTTACCTTTTTCTCTTATCGTTTCTTTGATGTTAGAAGCTTTACTCAAACGCTTAGTCACCCCTGGTTACCCATTGATAGTGAAGGTGCTCAGATCTGACCCGAAGCTGCTTGTGTAGGGACAGAGCTTCCTGGGTCATGGGCTTCCCTGTGGGTATAAGGTGCTGCTTGTCTTCCACCGGGGACCTCTGAACCCGCTGCTGGGAGTCTTCTCTTCTTGGGTTCATCACCTTCTCCAGAAGGAAGTCCCTGCTGGGAGCGGAGCAGAGAAAGGAGACACGAGGGCTCCTTGCTCTATAGGCAAACTTGCCCACCATGTTTGGAGGGCCAACACCTCCCCCTCCCGTGCCTGCTGCCCCTGAGTCAGAGACTACCTCCCTTCTTGCAAGTCAGCCCCCAGGGTTCTGCCCAGGCCGAAGTTGGTGAGAAATAATCCAACCACGGTGTCGACCTATATGGTCATTTTTCAGCATCTGCAAGGTAACAGCAGACTAGCTTTGGGAGCAGAATTGGGGCATTCCTCACAGTTGATTCCTGGGTGATTTCCTTTGTGCCCAGGGCAAAGCCCTGAAGGCCTCTTCTGTCCCCATCAGACTGCAAATCAGGGTTTCTGTTCAGGTGGCATGTACCTGAGTACCCTTTGTCTGACTCACTTATTTTTATCAAGTCATACTGTACCTTTTATTTTGCAGTTGTACTTGTTCAAACTAGTTTCTGCCTTACCTGTTTCTGGAACTTACACATCCTCTGCCAGTTAGGGCCAGGCTTAGACATAGATCATGTGATTTCCTCACAGATCTCTTCTAGCTTTTGTTTTGTTTGGCGTTGCATCTCGTGGCCATGTCAACTCACAACAGGGACTGTTTTCCGAAAGCAAAAATGTTCGCTTCCTTCACACCATAAAGTTCCCAAGTGCCATAGAGCATTAACAGGTGATCCTAGTCTGTGCTTTTTTTCCCTAAAGATTTATTTGTTCCTTTTAGAGAGAGAGAGCAGGGGGGAGGGGCAGAGAGAGAGAGAGTCTCCAGCCAGACTCCCCTCTGAGCGTGGAGCCCAACGCAGGGCTCGATCTCACAATCCCGAAATCAAACGTGATGCTTACCTGACTGAGCCCTGTGCCCCCGCACCCCCCAGCCCCGGGCGCCCCCGGCATGTGCTTTCATTCACCATCACTCAAGTGCCATCTTCAGGTTCCAGAGCGATGCCTCGCCGAGCATCGGAGTGTTTGATGGAAGTTGTTTTCGCCAGAACCCTTGTGACATACACTCTCCCTCAGCTTGTTCAGATGGAGGCTGCAAAGATCTTCCCAGTTTAGGGAAAACGTACTTGACCTGGTATGTTCATCTTATTAGGGAATTTATGAGATTAATTACTTTTTGTTTTAAGTTTGTTTATTTGACAGAGCACAAGCAGGGCGAATTGGAGAGGGAGAAGCAGGCTCCCCACCGAGCAGGGAGCCCAATGCAGGACTTGATCCCAGGACGCAGGGATCATGACCTGAGCCGAGCAGATGCTGAACCTCCTGAGCCACCCGGCGCCCTAGATTAATCATCCTTTATAAGTTGAACGCAGCCAAACTTCAGGGTTCTCTTAGGGGTCGGTCGTCTGTCCCGGCGTGAGCCGTTCCACAGGCGTGGGTGCTTGCCTGCAGGCCGCATAGGCTGAGCGGGCAGATGACTGGCACCCAGACCCTGCCCGCCAAAACCTTAGGGTCTCCTGGATTATTGGGATCATTTTTAGGCTTTTCTGTGATGTCCTGAATTTTTGTTTAATCCTAATGAATATTTGGGGGGGGTTGTTTAGTTTTTGCTTCTTGAATACCCCGGCAAACATCCTTGAGGAGATCTTCATATTCAGATGAACTCCAAGGTAGTGTGTTAAGAATTAGTGGTGTATGGGGCGCCAGGGGGGCTCAGTCACTAAGCATCTGCTTCAGCTCAGGTCATGACCCAGGGTCCTGGGATCGAGCCCCGCATCGAGCTCCCTGCTCAGCGAGAAACCTGCTTCTCCCTCTCCCACTCCCCCTGCTTGTGTTCCCTCTCTCGCTGTGTCAGTCTCTGTCGAATAAATAAATTATTAAAAAAAAAAATTAGTGATGTGTTACAGACTGGCACTGACTTGGGTCCAGCCAGTGGTGGTGGTAACGTGGGGAGAATTATTTCATCTCAGCATCTGTTCCTCATCTCTGAAATGATGGGTTGGGGCAAGTCAATCTTCTCACTTTTCTCTTTTTAGTTATAAGGGCCTGTGGTGCTCTGTGCCTTATAAGGACTGGGTAGGCGGTTGCCCCGCACGCTGACAGTCAGACCGGTGAAGTGGGGGCGTGGGTAGGAATATGTGCAAAGTATCCCTTTGCACTTTCTTCTGGGATTTTATCATGACATGTTCCCTGATCACCAAAACCTTCCGTTTCCTACCTGTAGGCACCATCTGAGAACCTGGTAGCATTCGTAGTTACTACTGGGAGGAATAAATACGTCCATGCTATTTTATCAGAAGAGAAGGAGCAGGAGAACCTAAGGAGGAAATTTACAAAAGATGAGACGTAACCCCCAACCAAGACGTTAAGTTGCTGTTTCATTCGTCTTGCTCTGGTCACTATTTCTGTTATAGTTGGAAGGCTTGAGTAGCTTTAATAGTCAGAGGCTTATTGATTCACAAGGGGTGCCGAGGAAGGTACTTCTGTGTTCTTTAGTTCAGTGGCCCCACAGTGTCATCAACAACATAGTTCTTTCCACCATATTCTTTTTTTTTAAGATTCTGTTTATTTATTCGACAGAGACTGACACAGCGAGAGAGGGAACACAAGCCAGGGGAGTGGGAGAAGGAGAAGCAGGCTCCCCGCCGAGCAGGGAGCCCAATGCCGGGCTCGATCCTGGGGTCCCAGGATCATGACCCAAGCCAAGGGCAGACGCTTAAAGACTGAGCCCCTCAGACGCCCCGACCCACTGTACTCTTTCAGTCTCTGCATATTGTCTTGTTCTTGGGCTCCTTCCCGTAGCTTCCAGATGGCTGCCGTGGTGTCTCCCGTGGAGAAGAGCCAACTCGCCTCCCATGCGGTTTTTGTCATGAGGAAAACCTTCCCTAGAAGTTCGCCCGAAGGCTTCTCTGAGTCCCACGGGGAGCGGGCGCGCCCTGATGGCTCTTCCCGTCCGGGTCCTTTCCTGAGCGGGTGGAGGGCGAGCAGCACACGCAGGCTGGGGTGCTCAGCAGAGGGCGAGCCGGCAGCCTGGTCAGGAAGGGCGTGAGGTGGGCGCTGCTTCGAGTATCCGGCGTCGGGGATGACAAGTGAAACACTGCAAAGGGGAAGCTGAGTCTAAAATCAGTCTTGTGGGCATCTTTCCTGACCCCCGTGCTGGAGGCGGTTAATGTTCTGTGTGCTGGACGCAGGCATCGGTGGGGCGCGGGGACGCAGTGACCCAGTTCATGCCCCGCGGCGGAGACGCGGGGACATAGTGACCCAGTTCGTGCCCCGCGACCGGGACGCGGGGACACAGTGACCCAGTTCGTGCTCTGTGGCCGAGATGCAGGGACGCAGTGACCCAGTTCGTGCCCCGCGGCGGAGACGCGGGGACACAGTGACCCAGTTCGTGCCCCGCGGCCGGGATGCGGGGACGCAGTGACCCAGTTCGTGCCCTGTGGCCGAG